ATGTATTATGAGATATGTCCATGAAACTTCAAGAAAACGATAGTTTAAATTTTTTTTCTTACCAAACATTGTAGATATGGCACAGGTGTTGGCAGTACCAGGAGATGTAAGACATGCATTTTCTTATCAAGGCCAATTCAACCACGACTTTGGTCGCATTACTGGTACATGCGGTATAACAGCTACAATAAAGGGGAACATTTTGTTATGTGACTATTATAAAAAGAATATGATATTAGTTGATCTTCTTGGAAATTATTTAAAGAAGCTTAACGTAGATAGTGAACCATATGATATTGCTATAACGAGTCAAAATATAGCCTATATTACACAACCTAAATCCAGATCTGTACTGCAAATTGACCCTGACAGAATGGTGGAACTCTTCCAAGCAACATGCAACGACCCAGAATCCAATATGTTGAGATGACTTGTCCGTAAATGATCACTTATACCGTTGACTGAGAAAAATAAAAAGGATACACCCAAAGACTCGAGGAATTTGTAAAACCTTTTTTTTTCATATTAAGTTAAGAAGCAGGCATGCAATGTTTTGTGAAGAAATATAAAAAATAGTGACAAGAATTTAAACGATAAAGTGGAATATCTGAAGATGATAAAACGTTTTATTCATGTTAGTTCTGTATATGTACTTTGTTTAAGGTGTATTTATTTACACGAAATGTTTACCTAAAAGACAATTTTCTCGAAAATAAATAGACGCGAACATCAATACAACTTTGATGTATATTGAATAAAGGTAACAGTAGTATATCGGTGTTCAAAAGTCATAACCTTGAATACTAAATTCCTAATCAATTTCAGACTAAACTGCATTGATAAATGTGGTTTCAAATGTCAGAAGTTTATGTTTGAATACATATTTCTGTTATCTCTAGTCCAATACATCGATGCAGACCGTTTTTTTTTTATTTCGAAAAAAACCGTGAAATTAAGTACACGCGATTGTGTCGACAATACCAAATACGCAATCATATGTACCCGCGAAAGAAAATAACATATACAGTAATACAAATCTTTCAACTCTCACTTTTGAATAGGACTAAATTTTTAAGGTCATACTTTTGTGATGTGCAATTGTTCTTTAGATCTTTCCGCTTCACAAAAACTGAAGAAACCTAAATCTTAAACTTCGTAATCGTAAATTTTCTTATAACCATCTTTCACGTCAACTTTAAACTCATCATATATACAAGGATGTAAAGTGTTTTAAATGTTAATTATGATATTATCAAAGATAAAGCATGTCCACACAAAACTGTGCTACTACTGGGCTGATGAAACCTTCTGGGAGAAAAACTTTACCAGAATCGGCATCGACCCTGTGGTTATAAATTGAATGGTTTTAGATACCAGTCCTATTTGGTCTTACTGTTCATATTCGATAGCATTAATAATCTGGAGAGATAGTCGTAATTCTATTAATGCATTATTACATTGTAGAAAGTCAATACTAGCTTAGGAAATGAAACTGCATACATATAAACGACTGTTAGATACGGATGTAATCAACCGACATAAATCAAATGAACTACATGTTAAATTATGTTTAAGGGCCTTCACCAACCGTTTCCTTATGACTTATGAGTTTGAATGTTCTTATGATTTCTTTCGCACATCTTTTACAAAAAACATTGACAGACAGTGTCAATGGAAGTTATTGATAACTAGGCCATAGCTCAATACACGTATTAAATAACTGGACTGACTACAATACAAGTTATACACATGAGTATATAATTGGCTTCAATGGGTTGTTTTGTTTAACTTTCAGTAGCCTACCAGTCGTAAATTCAACTAGAGGAAGAGAAATTTGTCCATGTGTTCTAAAATTCCATGCAGTTGATGAACAGTCTTTTTTATCTTGTACAGGAGGTCAAAATTATATCACGTTTCGCGGAAAAATACACGAGTAAAAAAGATAGATAATATTGTCACCATGGATACACCCACTGTTATATGCTCCGATGATAACGGTCACATATATGTCAGTGGACAGGGATCGAACAACATACACAGACTTGAAGGGTATTCAAATGACTTACTTGTAACAGAACAATATTATAAGTATTAGACATACCATTGACTTCAGATCATGGAATCAAGGAGCCTGTCGCCTTGTGCTTCAACCAAGATTATAGTAAATTTGATGTTGTCAACGAATGGGGGAAATGAGTTTTGGTTTCTGATGTTATTTGATAATTGAATAAAAATATTATGACTTTTTCATTATTCGTGAAGTTCCATTTTTGTGAATTTTGTTGGTATAGGTAAACAATGCTTTTTAAAATCAACTTTTGTCTATGTTTTAGAGAACGTTTTTGATTCAGTTTCTTCTAATTATTATTCTGCATTTTGATAGTGCTATTTAATATTACTGCTTTACTTTTTTTTCGCAATAAATCGTTAATATGATCCAAGTTTTGTCGTACTAAACATGTTATGCATGTCATAACATGTATAATGATTGACGCTTTTTCCACTTTTGTACTATTGGCAATAACATCATCAACATGTATTCTACAGAACACAAACGTGTTAATTGAATGTCACATTTAAATTCATCAAAAATCACAATTGAGAGCTAGCTATGTCTTTTGGACAGTTTCAAAATTTGGCGTTTTTTTAAGTTGTCCTATGAGAGATGTTTGTAAAGATTGTCATTCTAAAATAAGAATACTTCCATAAATACTTAAGGAAATGACAGTGTTACATAACATAAAATAAAACATCAAGACTTAGATTAAAAAATGCATTCAACTTCCTTTTTTGATTTCATACTTTCATTTATTAAGAACATTCAATGTATGTGAGTAAAAACATATTTTGAAACAACTAAAGCAATATGAACAAATGTCTAGTGTAAAATAACTTCAGTATTGATGTGTAGCATTCATACTTTAAACGCCGAAGTATTCACTTATATACACGGATGCATGTGTAAAAAAAAATTGATTTACATTGTGTGATGTCTTCAAGGTTTACTTTTAAGCACCACTATATTAAGAAAATATAATTTTGTGGAAGTATTAGAAAGATGATGTACGTTTCAGCCTGTCGAGCCGTTCTTTTTTTTTGTTGTTAAATCTAAGTAAGTTTATATATTTCTTTCAATTAGCATCCATGTCACGTTTCTTTCTAGTGGAAATTCTTCAATAGTGTGGCATCATTTACAGATCTAGGTCATCCAATAAAGTCATGAAGGACAAACATTTCTGCATCCGTCAAACTGTTGAATAAGTCAATAGGATATAGCTAAAACATATGTATGCATCAAGTTTACTATGCATAATATTTCATTTCTAACCATGTTGCTTACAAAAAAGAACAACCAAGATAAAAGATGGTTTATGTATGCCCTATTGCATTGATACTTTTATCTGGTAAACGTATATATCGCTCTCTAATTTGTACACCAGCCGTTGTTCATCTTCTGACAGTATCCCGTTTCGAGGACATTGTGACTCAAAAACGATCATTTATGGATCTGTTTGCTTCTATTGGATCAATGTACCTAAAATATTCACTAACTTTTAAAATATTAATGTGTAACAAATGAGTATCTATCAGTACAGTATGTCATTATAAAACTAAACATACTGGGCTTTGTTCATTGTTGAAGGCCGTACGGTGACCTATAGTTGTTAATTTCTGTGTCATTTGATCTCTTGTGGAGAGTTGTCTCATTGGCAATCATACCATGTCTTATTTTTTGTATAATACCCAATTCAGGCAGATAAGTTTTTGATATTTTCTCTATAATTAAACCAATCATTCCTTAATATATGAATCAAGTAAATCCATCGCAGGCATCTGAACTCGTTTTTACTTAAGGGGCGACAATTTGATTTACTGGGCAAGGGATAGGGTTGCAGGATGTTTTGAAAATCAATACCTTGGCCTGATAACAAATTTTGCATATAGACAAGTAGAAAATGATTTTTTTGCAAGACAAATTGAAGATAACACATGTGTAAAAAAGTGAAAATTAATTTAAGCGCAAAAAACAATAAGCGTGCGTACACAATATCAAAATAGATATAAGAATCCAAACAAACATAGAAATATTGTGGAAGTCAATAGGATATAATTTATTAGTCTGAGCTGCAAGATTTTTTTTATTAGTTGTTAGTGGCTTTTAATTAGCTTATCAGTATCTTCGAGTACTCTAGGATCATTACCTAGTGTCTCTTTGTTGTTGGGATAAACAATTACCCGGCCAAGGTTTGGGATCCCGCGTACATGTATTACTCCACCACGTTCTGTGTGTATGTGCCGGTCCCAAGTTAGGAGCCTGTCACTCAGTGGTTGTCGTTAGTTGATGCGTTACATATTTGTTTTCGTTCATTTTTTGTACATAAATTAGGCCGTTAGTTTTCTCGTTTGAATTGTTTTACATTTGTCATTTCGGGGCCTTTTATAGCTGACTATGCGGTATGGGCTTTGCTCATTGTTGAAGGCCGTACGGTGACCTATAGTTGTTAATTTCTGTGTCATGTGGCCTCTTGTGGAGAGTTGTCTCATTGGCAATCATACCACATCTTCTTTTTTATAAACAAACAAAGACACAAAATCCCGTTATGATAAGAGCCAGTATATCTGACAAGAAACCTACACAAACGTTTTTGTTGTTAATAGGACATGCATTTAATACAAACCGTGTACTATACTAGTACGAGAAAGCTAACGGCCTAGTTTCATGAGTCGATAAACGGATATTTCGACTGTTGAATATAAAAAAAAAAAAACGTTGGCAAGTGTTAAAATCTAAACAGTTATATTTCTTTTATTCTTACATGCAATAGCTACATTTGTACATGTAAACCGTGCCTTAATGGATTTTTTAATTAGATGGACCAATAAATGACCAAAAATGTTAATTTCCTTATACAATTCACAGACCGTTAGATTATTTCGTTACTGTCATGAATTCGAGTTGTATTTATATCACATTAAATCAATAGTTATAAATAAACAAGGAAGTAATTTACACGATCTGTGACGCAACAAATAAGGTATGTATGTATTATAACCTAATTTTGAATGTTCCTTTGTTCCGTGTAAAGATATTAGTTCTAGTTCATGTAATAATGTATCATCATTCCTGACGGTATTTACAATATTGTTATTTGGCATTGTTAGAGTATTGAATACACTCTGAGTCTTTAAACATACAGTGATTCCGGAGTAAAGAACTACATAGATGTCAGGGTACATTGAATTTGTCTACAATTTTATATCTTTACGTTAGATGTTTTCATATTAGAATGTACTGAATCATCTTATCTAATATATAGCTACTAACACAATGTGTTACTATAATGAAATATGTAGTCCTAATTTATGAACAATGATAAACATGAATTAGCAAAGTTACCAGTACAATAGACGTATCCCATCAACCACTTACAACGAACTCTGCAGAATAAATTTACATACAAACAAAGAATACCAATAACAACGAATAACCCATTTTCATTTGTTATGGATAGTCTGACAGTAAATGCGGTAGAGATAAATATTTACTTTGGGAAATACATATCTTTTTTATTACGACCATATTTCTTAAAAATAAACATATACTGATTATTTAAAAAGGTGCAGCAAGGCAAATAGTAACTTTTTTTTCTCTCAGACGCTCCTGTTAAAAGTTCTCAATTAACAAAAGAAAGAGGAGCACTGTTGGTTCAACTAGAAATGCCTTTTGTTTGTCCTTAAACAAGATGTTTATGTCAAGAGTTGCCGAAGCTAGTTTGCAATCTGAATTTCTTGTTATATTCCCTTATTGTTTTTATTCATAACTTAGTACTTATATTTTAATTCATATGACAAAAAATAGAAATTAGTATACTAAAGCAGTGAGAACATGCAAAGGCTCCTATGATTAAGGGGTCTGGCTGTCACGACTAAAGATGTGATGTTTTCAAAAGGTTGCTGGCAAAATCCTGCTTCATTGACTATCACATTCCAATTGAAAATAGAAACTCAGGGAATTAACATGTTATATTATCCCTTTTCTTCCAGAAAGAAAATTTGTAATTATTTTTCACAAATGCAAACCTCCAAAAGATATACAGTGTGTAGTACTATATTTTTAATCATTAAAGCACCATAACAACCATTTATTGTATTTTCAAGCTTTTTCGTAAGACTGAGTTCCATTGATTCCATTCCCCAGTGTATCTCCAATTATTCATTTGTTTTATCATACACATATTGTAACTGTGGTGTTTTTTTTTAAATTATTTTTTCGAGAATTCGACCAAAAAAGAATTATGGATATTAGACAGTTATCAATATAAGTAGCTTACAAAAGAAATTTACTGTTTAATTTCAGCAACTTACAAATGACATTTATTGGTCAACATTTGATTTTCCATTATACATAGTTTAATTATCTTTTTATCGCACTGAGTAAAAAATAAGAGGATGCATGTACAATTTATCGTAAACACTTGCTTCATTCTTTCCATGTTATGTATGAGTTGCATGAAATTTTAGAATTGTGCCTCGATATGAACATACGTACTCGTTATAAAATTGATACCACAATAATTCATGGTACTCAATCTCAACAAAAAAAAAACATACCTTACACTGTACTTATCTAATACTATAATGTTTCTGTGTTCAGTGAAGTAGATATAAGAAATAAAAGATAAAAAATGTTACTTTTTAAAGTCTAATTTTGTCAATAATGTAATTACATCTGAATATTTGAAATAAAGTTCTGAAGAGTTTACGTCGTCTGGTCTTTAAAGTACCGAACATGGCCTATTCCCGAATATGACTGTTTTGCTGAGTGTTAATTCGCATTGCTATGAGACGTGTCACGGTATTTGTGTATACAACATTCATCTATTTAGTTATGATGTTGTATTTGTAATTCTGATAGAATATTATTAAATGTCTTATCGTTTGTAGTTGTAAATTTAATTTGTTCATGTTCTATTAGTATGTAAAAGTAAAGATAATTAATCACCCAGTACATTTACAAGATTCTAGTTTAAAGCAACTAAACGTACACGATTTATTTGTTTTACAGTTTGCTTTAGAAGAAATACCGACATAGCTAGACAACACAATACATTATCTAATTACTAACACAATTCTATATTAATAGTCTTGTAATTGTTATAAAGTATATCTAATACCATTATTACAAACCTGATCTTGAACTATATCAAGTTTTTAGGAATTTACCTGTGACGTCACTTTTGTGGTGTCGATCCAGTCGTGTGACAGACAATGCGTGGTTCTGTTGTGCCGTTTTTATGTGCTGTCCTTGGTTGTTTTACGTGTTTGTTTTTATTCGGTTATTAGTCAGCACTTCGGTGATGACATGAACATCAATTATATGGTCATTTTTATAAATTCACTGTTTGCAAAAGTATGAATTATTCTAAATACTGAAGATTTTCTTATCCAAGGCATATATTACCTTAGCAGTATTTGGCACAACCTTTTGGAATTTTAGATCATCAATGCTCCTCAACTTTGTACTTGTTTGGCATTTTTACTATTTTGATCTGAGCGTCACTGATGAGTCTAATGTAGACAGTAGGCGCGTCTGGCGTATTAAATGATAAGCCTGGTACCTTTGATAACTATTAGCATGTCAACATGTACTATTGTATTGTTTATTTGTGTATTTCTCTGTCCTGAATGTTCTTGCATTTATTTGTACCGTAGTCTTGTCATGTACTGTTGTCATTTTAGTGTTATATTTAACATTGCCATTAAGGCGCGAGGTTTGGTTAGCCACAAAACCAGGTTCAATCCACCATTTTTTCTTAAAATGTCCTGTACCAATTCAGGAAAATGGCAGTTGTTATCTTATAGTTCGTTTCTGTGTGTGTTGCATTGTCTTTTGTTTTTTGTTACACTTCAGTGTTTCTGTTGTTTCGTTGTTTCCCTCTTATAGTTGATGTGTTTCCGTCGGTTTTAGTTTGTAACCCGGATTTGTTTTCTCTCAATCGATTTATGACTTTCGAACAGCGGTATACTACTGTTGCCTTTATTTAAGATTACAGAAACAAAAAAAGATGGTATATAATATTTTTCATATTGTTTTTGGTTTGGTAGTGTTTTTTTTAAGGGGGGGGGGGGGGGGGGTTATGTTTATGTAATTTTGTTGTGGAGGTGAAATCTTAACAACAATACATAGTATAATTGCCCAATTATTATGTATAACTATATAAAACAACTACAATTTGAAAAAAATATATTCAAATTTATCGTTATTGTCTTTTTGTTTATCTTCCAATTTATCGTCAAATCTTAAAAAATATATTTCTGCGGAAAATAAACATATGGCAATATTCCATCCGATGATATCATTATCTGGTGTTACATATCGTTCTGAGATAATAATGACAATGTTACAAACATGATATATCTGTCCAAATATTTTAGATAGCACAGGTCTTAAGTTTGTGGCGAGGTTAAAAAAAATCGTCTGTTCAATCATTTACTCACCTGAGATACATCTACGTGTATAATACAAGAAAAAAAATTATTGAAAATTCGTCGAAAATGATTTAGCTAGTAAAATTGATCCTACGGACAAAAGAAACAAAAAATAAAAAGACATAAAACATTTAGTGTCGGTATCACACTAGTCATAGATCAATTGAGAGATAACAAATCAGGATTACCAACCAAAACCTAACTTGGACTTTGCTCAGTGATTTAAGAATCAATAGATATAAAGCAGGAATTCTTGTCTATTTTGTATGATTTTCGGTTTTTGAAAGAGGATGTATATATCAAATTCAAGAACGAAATTCTTAATAATTTGTCGAATCTATATAAAAAGCAAGCACTAGCTATTCTGTTATAATTAGAAACTTCTAGTGTTTAACGCATGAACTGGTGTACAGAATCGACAAAACATACAACAGGCCACAACAACCACAAACGGCCCGACTCCTCCGAAAACATTACCATAACCACAGTGATAAACAACAGCGATTAACCATGGTCTATAGATAGTCTGAATTGATTCGGATACTAGATGTGATTGAATTAAATGTTTTATGCTAGGAAATACTTCTCCCTTTGCCTTTTATACCTCTTTTTGTGAAATCCAAAGTGAGTTACCACCTGTGCAGTAGAACTTAACAACGAGAATTGCTACTTGTTTATACGACGAAATAAAAAACGGCACATAATTTGGAAAGAAAGGTCAAAATGATATCCTATTATAGGAGTGTAATCTACGGTAGTGTATCTCCAGCTATTGGTTGTTTAATGCCTCTTGAAAAACAGATCAGCACACCTGTATTTTGTGTACAATTCGTAGTTATCTCTGTACGCTGCGCATGCCAATTTTACTTTACTTGTGTCTTACTTTTATCAATGACAGGACAAGTTTTTACTTCAGCAATCAGGGATTGCGGAAGTCAGCTGATAAGCTCATAGTAGACATTTTGTTATGTGGAGACTTGTGTGTACAAATACCGTATCGTAAACATCATTATTTTTTTTCTTTTACCTGTAGTGCCGTTCATAATTCTCATGTGGACAAAATACATGACAATTGTCCGGCACATTAAAATAATACACCTTGCTTGTTTGTTGGCTTTTTAAAGAGATTCAAACACTGAAAAATGACCTATTTTGAAGCCCAATATATGTGCTTGAAAATACAGTAGATTGCATGTTTGTTATGGGGGAATCACATATCAGCGCCTTTACATAGTCTTCTATGTAATTTCGACATGCTTTTTTGTATAGAGATAAATGATCTTTTCGGTTTTTGTTTACTTTTGTTTATGTTTCATGTCAGTTTACAATCTCAGAGGGAGCTGATGAATCCGACTGATACACGGGGATTATGTCAAGTTGCTTATTGTAGGTACGCATTATGTGTTTAATCCGATTTTTTTATGTCACAATCAATTTAATATCATCCTTATATGTATATGATAATAATGATACCAATAATGACACTTGAAAATATTTTTTTCCAATTATTTTAGGTATGGCACAGGTTTTGGCAGTACCAGGAGATGTTAGACATGGATTTTCTTATATAGGCCAATTCAACCATGACTTCGGCCGGATTACTGGGATAGCAGGTACAATAAAGGGGAACATTTTGTTATGTGACCATGATAAAAAGAATCTGATATTAGTTGATCCTCATGGAAGTTATTTAAAGAAGCTTGACTTAGACAGTGAACCGTATGATGTGGCTATAACGAGTCAAAATATAGGCTATATTACACAAACTAATTCCAGGTCTGTCCTACAAATTGACCCTGACAGAATGATTGTACTCTTAAAAGCAACTAGCAACGAGCTTAGCACTACCGTGTCTTGTGTTTCAGCAGTACCAAATACTGGAAGGGATTATTCAGACAAAGATCCTTGTTTCTTTGGCGTTAATATACATGGTTTGATGTATGCTGTTTCTGTCAATTACGAGCAGATGTAAGTTTTTATCTACATTTATTATTATCCTTGTAGACAGCAAACTATGCTACATGAAACGAATGTCTTATTTGATAATTTCCAATCAAATATCTAAGCAATTGCTTATATTAAAAGGTGCAATGATACCATATTGTTATGTTCATAGAAAACCAGAGTAAATTATAACTTCGAATAATAAACACGATACACTTAAGGTCACTAAAGGACTAAAAGGTGTATAACGCCTATTATTTCGTGTGAAGTTCGAAAGCAGTCATTCTACATTTTACATGTTTTATGCAGAATTTAAAAAAAAGACAAATGTAAAGAATTCAAATATTCAAAGTACAAGTAAAGGCAACAGTAGTATACCGCTGTTCGAAAGTCATAAATCGATCGAGACAAAAACAAATGCGGGTTACAAACTTAAACTGAGGGAAACACGTCAACTATAAGAGGAAAACAACGAAACAACAGAAACACTGAAGTGAACAAAAACCAAACGACAATGCAACACACACAGAAACGAACTATAAGATAACAACTACCATTTTCCTTACTTGGTACAGGACATTTTAAGAAAAAATTGTGAGTTGAACCTGATGTTGTGGCTAGCCAAACCTCGCACTTTTATGGAAATGTTAAATATAACACTAAAATGACACCAGTACATGACAGTACATACAGTACAAATAACTGCAATGACATACAGGACGGAGAAATACATAAATACTGTGGATTCATTTATTTTCGTGGGTATCAATTTTCGTTGATTGCTGAAAACTTTCATATTCGTGGATATTTGATTTCGTGGTTGGGCCAATCTCTGTATACAAAGCCTATTGAAAATATGTTATTCGTTGAACATTTGAATTCGTGGTTCACCTGTATCCACGAAACCCACGAAAATTGGTATCCAACGAATAATAATGAATCCACAGTAAACAATACAATAGAACATTTCGACATGCTAACCACAGAATAAAAACGAACACGTAAAACAACATAGGACAGAACACAAAACAGCACAACAAAACCACGAACTGTCTTTCACAAGACTGGGTAAACGCCACAAAAGTGACATCACAGGTAAATTTCTAAAAATATATGATACTGTTCAAGATCAGGTTTGTAACTATGTCATTTGATGTATCTTATAACAATTACAAGAATAGTAATATAGAATCGTGTTAGTAATTAAATAATTAATTGTATTATATAGCTTTACGGTATTTTTCTAAATCAAACTGTAAAACAAATAAATAGTGTACATATAGTTGCTTTAAACTAAAATTTAAGAAATGAACTGGGTGATTAATTGTCTTTTCTTTTACATACGAATAGAAAATTAAAAAAGTAGAATTACAACTACAAACGATAAGACATTTAACAGTATTCTATCAGAATTACAAATACAACATCATAACTATATATATGAATGTTGGATAACAAATACCGTGACACGTCTTATAGCAATGCGAATTCACACTCAGCAAAACAGTCATATTCGGGAATATGTCATGTACGGTACTTAAAAGACCAGACGACGTAAATGGTAAATCACAATTTAAGACGTGGTAAAAATGTATTTAGTTAGTTTAGACACAGACACATCGTATGGATCAACCAATTCTTGATGGAGTCCATAAAATTTACGGAGTGTCATTTTTAATCTTTCCTCCTCATAACTTTGTTGGAGCAGTTTCTGCGTAAGGAGCACACTCCTGTATATGAAATCCGTATAATGTGAACATGCCCGAGCATAACGTATCAACTGAGATATGTAAATACCATACGATGGAGCAGAGGGTATCTTACTGCTGCGAAATGGGAAATTGATAATTGGGAAGTTGAAATCGTCTCGTTTGTCATAGCTTTTAGTGTGAAGTCGTCTATCTGTGTTAATATTGAGGAAAATATCAAGGTATGAAGCAGTTCTTCTAGTATCAGTAGTATTCTTAATTTCAAGATCACTGGGATATATGAGATGTAAGTATTGGCTGAAATATGGGTTATTCAGTGATAGGACATCATCAACATATCTGAAAGTAAGATTAAAAAAACTTCGCAAGGTGCTTTTTCTTTTTGTCTTTTAAAAGAATTTGAATGAATTCTGCTTCATACGAGTACAAAAACAAATCGACCAGTAGAGATGCATAATTTGTTTCCATTGGAATACCGACTGTAGGTTGAAATATCAATCCTCCAAACCCAACAAATATATGTCAAGATGTCATGATTCACTAGTTAACATTTAGGTAAATACTAGATGAACAAAAATGTTTTAGATTAAGTCTTTCTGGATTTAGTGTGCGAGGATCCGTAACTTCTTCTTGCATTCCAAATGATTTGTTGTTTCGATCGGCAATGATGCGCCTTATGTAGAAAAAATGCGCGTCTGGTGTACAAAATTATAAGCTTGGTATTTCTGAGTTATAACCAGCGTATTTGGTCTGATTGTTTAATACTGAAAGAATCAATATTCTAGCGAGATAGCATGCTTTAATTACTGTGTCATTTAACTAATTTAGCTTATAGATCATCAATTATCGAAATCTCTACTTTATCAATGGCTTTTGGTTTTTATATTATCTCGTTTAAAATAAACATTTAGCTGTTATGAGTCGCTGGTTTATCATTTTAAGGTTACAGACCTGACTCAATATTGTTGAACAATAATATTTTTTTACATTTGAAAAAAATAAATTTCAATGCTTGAATTAATAAAATGTAACTTGTTCACAGTAATCTTATGAATTTATAAACACAATTATATCTGGTATGGTTGCCAGTTAGTCAACTATTCACCAGAAACCAAAAACAAATGGACGTTATCAATAATACAGTTATATCATACAGTCTTTTATAATGAGCAAAACACATATCGTATGATTAGAAAAATGACCTTAATATGATATTGTAAAATTAAAAAAAAAAAAAAAAAAACAGACTGCCTTATTAGTGTTAAAACAATTAATGAAAAAGCAAAAAAAAAAGCAAACAGCAACTTCTGATATTTGAGTTCACAACTTCAAAGAAACGGAACAAGAATGTGGCGATGTAAATCATGTATGTGAGAGCCCACCTTCTAATCGTTGCCTAGTATTTTGGTTTATCAGCAACATATTTAGTCGAGTTACATTAACCACAAATCTTCATTTTTAATGCACCCACCTAACATACGGCTAAATCATATACCATTCGAAAGCATATCATCAGTACTATCTTTTTTGCCCGGTCGTCAAATATTCGTTCGGTGCATTTTTTGTCAAATCGCGATGAAAGGTCAAGGACGGACAATTTCTAATTTTTCAAGACGTCCGTAGTTTTGCATATTCTGTCTTTAAAATGATAAAATTATCTATGGAAATGTTAAAAACGATGAGAACAGAGACTATTTGTCAATTGTCAAACACACTTTAAAATATTAATGACGTATTTTAATTGATAGCGCCGTTTTCCAGAAATTACAGTGAAAATGATAAAAAAAGAGTGAAAACCAAAATATTCGTCTGTGATTTAATTGATATTTACCATAAAACTAAATAATATATGTCATTTGGTGCTAAGGAAGATTTTGACATCATCATATTACTGCAATCACACTTCTTGCTAATTACACAACCAACCATAACAACCTATTCAGTTGCCCAAAATACAACCATCTGCAAAAAGATTGCTTTTTTAGCTGTTTTACGTGACAAAAATTATATAGTCAATATTAGGTTGAAGAAACACAATTTAAAAATACAAAAATGTATGAAGGCAATAATACACGCAGGATGCATGCTTTTAAGGTGAATTTAGGGAGCTAATTCAAATTTTAATATGTAGTTCACTTGCCACTTGTTAAAACACGTTTTTGTCATTACTTGTTATTTTGTTTGCTATTTCATGATTACCATTAAAAGAAATAAAGGATTATATATATAAATTTTAAGCTAGCCCAAAAAAAATATTAAGAAAAATATTAACTCTATTAAACTACGCAATGTTCTAGTAAAAATTGACATGTTGCAGTTACATGCAGTTGCATGTTGTATTTGGCAAAACCTTTTGGAATTTTGGGTCCCCAATGCTCTTCAACTTTTTACTTTATTTGGCTCTTTTAAATGTATGATTCCAGCGTCACTAATGTGTCTTTTGTAGACAAAACGCGCGTTTGGCGTACATCATTTAAGCCTGGTATCTAAGAGTTTATTTACAACCACTAGGTCGATGACACTGCTGGTGGGGTTTCCTACCCGAGGATTATCACCAGCCCTGAAGTCAGCACTTCTGCGTTGACATGATGAATCATCAATGATATGGTCATAGTTATAAATCAACTGTTTACAAAACATTACATTTTTAAAAATATTATTGCTTTACTACTCCCGAGAGTAGATAACCTTAGCTGTATTTGACAAAACCTTTCCAAATGTTGGGTACTCAATGCTCTGCAACTTCGTGCTTTATTTGGCCTTTAACACTTTTTTTATTCGAGTGTCAATAATGAATCTTTTGTAGACGTAAACGAGCGTCTGGCGTACATCATTTTAAGCCTGGTATCTATGAGGATTGTATTTACATTGACTAACAATCTATTTCTTTTGATTTGAAAATTCTAGCAATTCGCAATAAATATAGTTCTAATAAGACTTCCTAAATAGTTAAATGATTACATATCGAATAAATAGCTATGAAGAAAAAATATTACTGGGTATGTGTCTTACCAACAATTCAACCAATTTCATGTATCACCAAGAATATTTGTAAAAGTAGGCAACCTCTGACAAAACATAGCATTTTTCATATTGCTGCGTTAAGCCCAACTGTTGTTTACCTGGCAGCGATTTTTGGGTAATTTTCACACTTTACTTTCATACTAAAGAAGAACGAGGATTATTCTCTTGAGTTATTTTTCTAATCACAAAAATCACATAAATAAATTGTTTGCCAAAATTAGTCGATTTGAAGTATTGTCTTCCAAAACTAACTTAAAACCTCTAAAAAAACTTTATCAAAACAATAGCATGAATAGGTAAAATCGGGTTTTTTTTACATTCCAATGCTCTGCATATCATAACCTGTTCGTTTGGTTTTTTAATGGTGAGAAGATCTCATAACTGCATTATGTGTCTTTATAATTTGACCTAAAAACATACAAAATTTTATGTTTAAATGTGAGATAAAGAAGCGTTAAAAATGAGATCGATGATTATAATGGTGAATTTTAATTGCTTGCTATTTAACTCTATTTATATGTGTTTATCATGAATAAAATCCCTTCCTTTACAATATGCAAAATTTGCACTTTGAAACGTTGAATTTCACTAAAATTTACCAAGCGATGTAAGATGAGTATTGCTCATTACATAGTTTTTTAGACTAATGGATGGACATATGAATGGAAAGAACAAAACAATAATGGGCGTAGGGACAGTATGATTCCTACATTTCCGATAAACACATATATAACACCATGAACAAAGCGAAAAAAGTAGGACAGACAAACAACAGTTCTCAAAACACTACACAGAAATGTACGAACACTACCTTAATCCAGTGGTGATTGAAGTTGGTCAGGAAGGGTATTCAATCTTCCACAATATAAAACTTCAGTCATTTCTGATAAAACAAATAATATACTAAATAAGTATGTAATAATGTGCTAACATAAATGATTTGTGATGTAAAGCGTGTGGTGCAAACAGTATTTATTCGAATATTGAACGAGAATAAACATCTTAATATGTCTTTCATTTTATACATCGAATAAAACATATTTCTATTATATATACCTTGTATTTTCTTAACTCACTTTTATGACCACTTTTTTAAATACGGTAAACTATTTTCATTTGATATTGACAACAATCGATGTGTTATCTAAACAATGAAATGCAAAATGATCCTAATATGCAGATGGTGGTTTTAAGGGCAACTGCAAAAGTTTCTTTGGAAGGCTGATTCCTGACCAGTATTATATTATTTGCAGTAAAAAATTTCCTTCACCTATAAACGATAGATCTATTTTATTTTTGACATAAAAATATTGATACATAAAGAAATAGATTGCTTTTAGCGCAATTGTATCATTTTTGAAACATTTTTTTCCAAAATGCAATTTTCTGTAACCATTGCGCAATTAACATTTTATTGTGCACCTGATTTAGAATTCTGGTATTCTGTTCTAATATGTTCATATGATTTTTTTTACCTTTGACCTTGAATTAACAAAAATTGCACCGTACGAATTATTGACGACCGGGCAAAATAGAAAGTACAGATAATAAGCTTTCGAATGATGTATAATATAGCCGTATGTTAGGAGGTTGATTAAAGTCGTTAACTAAGCATCTTTTTTAAAAAATTCACTCGTCTAACTAGGAAGAAGCTGTTAACATCAGATAAAGGAATCTACTCATCAGATCGGAGCACAAAGCGCAAAATACAACCAACAAAGCACAAAAGTCACACAGTGCCGATCTAAACGACAACTTGTTCAAAGCAAAATACATCATGTCATGCTTGACTATTACAGTACATATATACCAAAAATCAATATTAAGATGTTATTAATAGTCTGAAAAAAGTCTGACTTACAACTATTAGAATGACAGAATTTGTTCAAATCTGAATATCAATACCAGTTCAGTTTCTTTTTTTATTATTATCTCTAAAAAAAATTACCTGTTAAAATAATTCTGAAAAATCTACTACAGTGTTAAATTGGCAACCTTTAAGAATAAGTTCATTCCAATGATAAATAAGATTCCATAGAGATAATCCACGTTAATGAGATCTATACACACCGTATAATTGAGTATTTATAGACACAGCAAAATTTCCAACCACAATATGTTAATTTATCAAAGAATTTAGTAATCGTTGTCAAGCAATGTTTTGTCACTACATCATACACTCAACTTTTTAATAGTTATATATGTATACATGTATCAGTGTTTACATGATTCATTGTTGGTTTTTTTTTAATTCCAGTAACCTCACAAACATATCTAAAAATGGACGCATAATTGGTACACGTGTTGTAAAGTTCCATACAGTTAATAAAGATTCTTGCTTATTTTGTACAGGCGGTCAAAATTATATCACGTATAACGGAAATTGGAACGGTTCAAATAAGATTTATAACATTGCCACCTTAGATACACCCACTGCCATATGCTCTGACGACAACGGTCACATCTACGTCAGTGGACAGGGATCGAACAACATACACAGATTGATATGTGAATCAAAAAAGACGAAGATAAAAAATAGCAGGGGACTTGAAATGTATAGACTAGAACAGGATTATAAAGTATTAGACATACCATTGGATTCACAGCATGGAATCAAGGAACCTGTCGCCTTGTGCTTCAACAAAGACAATAGTAAACTGTATATTGTCAACGAATGGGGGAAATCGATTTTGGTTTTCGATGTTATTTGATCAAAATTAGTGTGTGTCACACTGCTATAAATCCAATGAAATTCTTCATGTACATTGTGTGGTTCAAGTTTCTTTTATCTATTTGTAAATATTTCAATGTAAGTATTTTGTCAAAATTTAAAGAAAATTTAAAGACCCAAATGCTAGTATGTTTTAGTCAAAGTGTTGGGTACCCTTGGTTCGGCTTTATGTATATTGTACTAAGAATATTTTGTTTTTTGCTCATGTGCAGTGTGATCAAAATCTAGCAAATACAAGCGTTCAAACCGGTGAAATGGCCGTCTTACACTTTCAGTGAGGTGAAGAAATACAAATTCATGTTTAAAGCCTAATTATAAGTTCCTGTGTTTTTGCATTTTTCTTGTGAATAGAAATTTTGCGTCATTACTTGATACAAAATACCCCTTCTTTTCCAAAAGATTCAATCATACCACATCTCCTTTTATTCACATGTATCACTCTCAGCAAAGTGTTAATCTAAAAACCAGTGATTCTTATTGCTTCTCATTGTTGAAATCAAAAATAAAATCGTTAGTTCATTTTTCGAATTGCATTGAATTAGGACTGGATAGTATTTGTTATTGATTATAGTTATTCAACTATAAATGGTGTGGGACTGTTGTAATTAGTTCGCACTAATACTACTACAGCATTCATAAATATGTGTTGTATTTAGCAGTGTCAGATTGGCACTTAAAAAACTACTTAGATTTATTATTGTTTACCTCCATAAGGATGATCAGTATCATGTAGCTAATTTGTATTTTCAATATAAATATTATTATGCATATCTTTACTACCAAGACAACGGGGTATATCATAAATTACACCATTCCATTATTTTACACAGAATTAATATTATCAATAGTTAACAAGTTCCGGGTCGAACCCGATATCAATATATATATATATATATACAAGTCTTAATTGAAAACAACATTCAAACCTATGATTGCGTTGGATAAAAACCGCAATTTTTATACGTGTGCATGCAAAACAAATTTCTTGTTAGAGGGGTCTAAATACAGCACAAACAACATTTTCCAAAAGACCAAAAAAGTGAAAAAGTATATTTTAACAAAACGCATTTGACTAACAGGTCGAACAACAAATGTTCTTAAACCCTGCCGACTGCCATTGGCGATTGCCAAATAAACGGATCACCAGGTGTAATAAATGGATCCTATACATAAATTAATACCAAACAGAAAACAATAAACTTGCGGCAAAGATGGTATACCGCAAACAAAAGGTGCAAATATTTTTGTACACCATATCCGGATTTCGACAATTAATGTCTCTTCAGTGATGTTAGGAATCGAAACGGTATTTGGAAGGCCATATAATTTACCTCAATTTAGGATAGACTCTTCAATTTTGAGGAGTCAAAATAGGATGAACGGATCATATAAACCCGAAGGCAAATATAATACAAGCCCAAACGAAAACATATAAACAAGTCTAAATTGAAAACAACATTCAAACCTATGATTGCGTTCGATAAAAACCGCAATTTTTATACGTGTGCATGCAAAACAAATTTCTTGTTAGAGGGGTCTAAATACAGCACAAACAACATTTTCCAAAAGACCAAAAAAGTGAAAAAGTATATTTTAACAAAACGCATTTGACTAACAGGTCGAACAACAAATGTTCTTAAACCCTGCCGACTGCCATTGACGATTGCCAAATAAACGGATCACCAGGTGTAATAAATGGATCTTATTTATAAATTAATACCAAACAGAAAACAATAAACTTGCGGCAAAGATGGTATACCGCAAACAAAAGGTGCAAAGATTTTTGTACACCATATCCGGATTTCGACAATTAATGTCTCTTCAGTGATGTTAGGAATCGAAACGGTATTTGGAAGGCCATATAATTTACCTCAATTAAGGATAGACTCTTCAATTTTGAGGAGTCAAAATAGGATGAACGGATCATATAAACCCGAAGGCAAATATAATACAAGCCCAAACGAAAACATATAAACAAGTCTAAAGTGAATACAACATTCAAACCTATGATTGCGTTGGATAAAAACCGCAATTTTTATACGTGTGCATGCAAAACAAATTTCTTGTTAGAGGGGTCTAAATACAGCACAAACAACATTTTCCAAAAGACCAAAAAAGTGAAAAAGTATATTTTAACAAAACGCATTTGACTAACAGGTCGAACAACAAATGTTCTTAAACCCTGCCGACTGCCATTGGCGATTGCCAAATAAACGGATCACCAGGTGTAATAAATGGATCGTATTTATAAATTAATACCAAACAGAAAACAATAAACTTGCGGCAAAGATATATATTGTTGATTGTTGCTATTTTTAGACATCATATATATATATATATATGATGTCTAAAAATAGCAACAATCAACATTCAATCTATTTAGGCGTGGATCAGTTTGTGAAAATAAACTGATACAGTTACTGAATAAACATTATATAAATGTCTAAGAATATAACTTAAACACGCTAATTAATACATAAAAAAGTTCTATTAGATTTTAAATAGAAATACGCAATATTTCGCTAAACAAATTAGCTTCATCAGGCGTGTACATCTCTCAAGATAAAATCGGATGCATGACAAAAAATATTTTTGTAGCTTGAATTACATAAAATGTGAGTAAAAGTTTAACATATTTATTGATGTTCTATAAAAAATATATATGTTTGTAGCTTCAACTACATAAAGTTGGAGTAAAAGTTTAACATATTTCTTGATGTTCAATAAATTTTATGAATTTCTATAAAATATATATATATTTTAAAGAACATCAATATATATATATACACATGTAGTTTTGGTTGTAAAGTGGCATGTAATTCTGTAAATTCCTTCTCAATCAAAGAAACCTGGCATACTTCCATTGTTTTATATCTTAATATATGTCACTATTTAACAAGTCCGTTTTTCCCACATCATTTTTACGATAGGTTTTGGTTAATCAATTAGAAAATTAAAATTCAGTAAGTTAATTGTAGTACAAAAACATGAACGGGATCAAACAGACACATCTTAAAAGTAGAGAAACATGTGCACCTTAAATGCAGTATGGCTTTTCAGATGACAATAACAATGCTAATAAACTGTTAACACAAATACATTTAGATATTGTTTATTCTTCTAAGAATGTTGTAAGTCAGTTATTTTTTGTTACTATTCAACATTTTGTAATTTGTTATACTGCTTTACTTTGGTCCTCTATTATTAGTAAACATGATTCAATTGTTGTCATGGTTAATATGCTGTATATTTTATAAGGGTTGATGAATGTTAAAATCTTTTTGCCATATACAGGCACTTTTAAAACCTTCTCCTAATAAAGGTATTTAATTCTGATTGAAAAGGGCCCCTTAGACCTCAATGTTTGGTGGGGCTCGTGTTGCTTATTCGTATTTTTCTATGTTGTGTTTTGTGTACTATTGTTTGTCAGTTTGACTTTTTCTTTTTTAGCCATGACGTTGTCAGTTAATTTTCGATTTTTGAATTTGAATGTCCCTCTGGCATGTCTGGTATCTTTCGTCCCTCTTTTAAAGGTATCTACTGTTACTAATCTTTCTTAACCTCAATTTAACATTCTATCTCCCTAAATAATTTGTATGGTAGACTTTGACAAATTAGTCTTTATATATTGTAAAATGTTATGAACTGGAGCTACAATTTCTAAACATAACAAATCAAACCTGAATTCATTGAACAAGTGTTCAATTCTGTTTTCACATACAGTATGAAATCTGTTTCTAAACATAAACATATGAGTAAAATTCATAACAATACCTATACCAAAGTCCCCGATATGACAAAATGTAGAAGAATTTACACCAGAAATACCAGCAACGCAACATGATTTATTATAGTAAGCAACAAACGACAAGCAATGATTCACAGACATCTGACTTGGGACAGGCACATACGGTATTTAGGGAAATTAAAAACTTTTGCTCATCTAAATATATGGGCTCAAAAAAATCATACTAAATATCAAAATGTGCTATCCCATCAGTAAGAAGGTTTTTTTTTAACTTACAAACTAACTAACGAAAACTTTGTATTCATAACACAATTTAGTAAAGGTTCAAATACGTAATTTAAGATAACGAGATCTCAGACTTAATAATTTGCCATTGAAAAGTAAGATCACAAAAATACTAATCTCCGAGGAAAATTCAAAACAGAAAGTACCACATCAAATTGCAAAATCAAAAACTCAAACACATCAAACGAATGGACAACAACTGTCATTTTCCTGACTTGGTACAGTCATTGTCATGTAAAAAATGTTGGATTAAACCTGGTTTTGTAGCTAGCTAAACCTCTCACTTGTATGACAGTCGCATAAAATTCCATTATATTGACAACGATGTGTGAACAAAACAAACAGACTTAATAGGTAAAAATGTCAAAAATAGGGGTACGGCAGTCAACATTGTGTTATTATTTTAATCACTATAAAAACAAAACAAATATGTAAAGAAACATTTACCATGACACAATAACACAATGGCGGGATGTATAAGCATAGAGACAAGTCATAGGTAACAAGGAAACACAAAAAGGAATATAGACAAATCATATTTAATTTTATCATAGAACAATTACAAAATGGCGGGATTTATAAGTACAGAGCTACGTCATATGTAAAAAAGAAACACAAAAAGTCATATAGACAAAGCATATTAGCAAAAGCAAAAGACAAGATTGCAAAAATTATCATAGGACAATAACACAATAATGGGATGTATAAGTACAGAGCCACGTCAAATAGATACCACCAAAAACAGACTAAACAGTAAAAGAAATATTAATAAAGATAAATAAAAGAATAATATAACACGTTATTAAGATGATAAACAACGACAGTTATCAGAATGTATACTTAAAGACCATCGTGTATTATTTGTGAAGTTGATACGGAATAGTTATCAACAAGGTCTTGGAACCTTCCAATGAACTTTTTTAGAAAAAGGACGAGACGTTCTTTGCATACCCCTGGTTCATACGCTTTCTACTCAGACACTGGTGACTTTTTACAAAGTCTGGGGAGTTGCTGCATGCTCTTGAATACCGAATAAGTTGGGAAATGTATATCCCATATGCAGGTGAAGTTGGTATATTACTACTCAAGAGGGGCGGAGGCGGGTTGAGGGTGGGGGTGTGGGGGGGAGGGGGGGGGGGGAGATTGATCACTTCAAAATTAAAATTGTCTCGTTTGTCATAGATTCTGGTACTGAGATGACCGAGTATGTCAAATTCGAGGTATAAGTCTAACAATGAGGCGGAGGGAGCTGTGTCTGTTGGTACTTTAATTTCTTGTTCTGGGGGATATATTAATGGAACCAAATCAGAAAAGTTGAATTGTTAATGGAAAGAACATCATCAATCTATATGAATGTGAAATTAAATGACTTGGTTTCTTTGGTCTTCTTGTTTTTGACAAGTGTCTGAAGGAATTCCAATTCATATGAAAATACAAAGTCGTCGGCAAGGAGAGAATCACTGTTCGTTCTCATAGGAATGACGACAATTTGTTAAAAAAGTCTACCTCTAAATTCAACAAATATGTTGTCAATAAGAAACTCCAGCATACTGATCACTTGTTCCATGATACTTTGTTCCATTCATTGAACTATATATAACGTTATTACATAAGCAGACTTACGAGTTGGGATACATAAACAACCTCAGATGGGACCAAAGGAACATTTCTGCACAAAAAAGGATATCATTACAATTTCGAATTAGAACGAAAATTGTTCGTCTTGACATAATAAAAATATAAACAAACTTCTGAACTCCAAGGTTAATCAAAAAAGGGTGACGTTCATACAACATTTTGTTAAAACTGATGAAATTAAACGTTAAACAATATCAACTAGCTAATGGAACGAACATAAACCCGCTGTCATATTCTTGGTATTATAGTGTACATTATCATCTGTGAAATTGAAATATATGAATCTAGGAAAGGGCTGTTATTGCTGTTTATATATGTGATAAAACGTTTTTGACGTTCATATTATATTTATTTGGATGTATTGTCCCTTGGGTATATTTCAGCTGTATATTTAGAAAAATCTTGATTATTTAGCAAAAATATATCTCCATGCCATAACTGTTAATCAAGTCTGTCGATAAAGGGGTGCAATATCTGCTAGTTGGAATACCTATAACAAAACAGAAGATTAGCAACATAGTGTGCTCGTGACCTAATATGATATATATGGGGTCAGTGAATTCCATATGGGGTGAGAACGAAGCTCGAATCCACATATGCAGTTTACTGACCCCATATATATTGTATTATGTCACTTGCACACTATGTAACGAATTCATCTTACTGACTATCTTAACATGTGGTATTTAGACTAGTGGCCTATCACAGTGATCAGGTCTTCAATATCGTTAGTTTTAAGAACCTACTTCCCGCATTGGTTTTTACAAAAACAAATGCCAACAATAACAACGTGTTAGCTTTAAATGTGTTTTATGAATTTATCTCAATCTTACATCATTACTTTCTACGCAACATCGTGTTGTTTTTATAAAGGGACGTAACACCACTGCTAACCGTGTATTAAAATAAGCCCGCCTATTAACCTAGCATGGTATAAACACGGTGTCAACGCGGTTGCTTTTAACCAATCATATTGCTAGAAATGTATAAGAGGTAAGATTAAATGGTCTATCCGATCGGTTTCGTCGAATATTATACTATTAGTACTTACGTCTGAAGAACACCAAAGTTGTATCTATAAATGATATTTCACAACTGCAACACACATAGCAAAATAGTATTAATCATACTTCACTCACAATTTCAACAAGATCACTTTATCTTTACAAATATGTACCTGACTGTACAAAATGATATGACATGACATTTAAATATCATATTAGTGAAGCAACGACAAATCAACGGAATTAAAGATTCTCTGTGTCAAGCACCTCATTACTTGCAATGACGTACATGTCGATAATGCCGTAAAACTATTTAAAATTTCAATAGCATATATCA